AGACGCATTGGAACCAGGCAGTGTTGGAAAATGTGACAGGAAAAGGATCACTACTCCTCGTCCATCTATCCTATGGCTCTGCAGCCCAATTCGAGCCCGGGCCCCTCCAATATAATATAGTGGAAAACGATAACCAGTGTTCGTTTGTCAGCGACTCAAAATATTGATCATCTGTTTGTCAAGATTGAGATTGGCCACATCTACAAGTTTATCTTTGCAACTGTCTACTTTCCACCACGTAGTATCAACTGAAGATAATCTAGCTGAAAAGTATCCAGAATATAAGTTATGTACGCTGGGAGATTTTAATCTTCCCAATTGTCAGTGGTCCATTGATGCATTGTCTTCTCTGGCTACTCCATTACCAGGAACCTGATTACCAAATGAAGTTGATTCCATTCAATTTTTTTCCTTTCATAATCTGTATCAAGTAAATACTGTTAAAAATGAAAACAACTTTTTATTAGATCTAGTCATGGTTCAAGATGAAGAGGTTAAGGTATCTAGAGCTAAGAGTGCCCTACTACCAGAAGATAGGCATCATCCTCCACTCTCATTTGGGTTTAAATATGAATCTCAATGTTTCAATGAGCCAGGATTGATAGGAGATGACTTTTATATAGACTTTCGCTCAATGGGTATACGGGAATTAACAAACTTTCTTTTACAATTTAACTGGGATGATTTGTTAAGATAAAAGTCTTGATGATATGATCAACATGTTTTATGATGTTATTTATCTTGCAATTGCAATTGATATTTTTGTTCCCTGAAAAAGTAGTCAGCAAAAAAGTTTTGCTGAAAAAGTATTCAGCAAACAATAATAAAAAAAAAGAAAAATGTATAAAAAATATCTAAAATCTCAATTACTTGCTGACTATAATGAGTTTTCTTTATTACGAGCTAACTATAAACAACTGAATGAACAATGCTGTCTTGATTATGTAGCTCTAATTGAATCTTCTCTGAAATATAATGTTAAAAACTTTTTTAACAGTAAAAAACAGGAATAATATTCCTTCTGTCATGCACTCATGCATTATAATAATATTTCTGGCTCTTCTAGTATGGGGATTATCAATTAATTTGCTGAATAATTTTCCAAAACTTCTAGTGATAAAGATTTAGATTTGCAGGATGAAATAGCATTTCTATTTCATCTATATATGAAAAACTTTCCATTTTGGATAGTAACAACGGGCTAGGTCCAGATAGTCTTCTACCTTATTTTCTTAAACACTTAAGCTTTTTACTTTGTAGACATCTTTTTCACATTTTTAACCTGGCATTAAAGACAGGGATGTTCCCGGTCTATTGGAAAACTAGCTTTATTACCCCAATACTAAAATTTGGAGATAATTCTGAAGTGAACAATTATCGGCCTATTAGCATTCTAAGTTGTATTCCCAAAGTTTTTGAGTGCCTTGTCTGTGACTATTTGTCAGCAACTTTAAAAGGCTGTTATCATCATCATCAGTGGTGCTACAGCTCTAGTTGAGCCTTGACCTTCCCCAGTCTATTTCGCCAGTCGTCTCTGTTCATCGCCAACCGTTGCCAATTTGCCGCGCCGATCTTCCTTGCGTCCTCGTCCACACCGTCCCTCCATCTCAGTCGTGGTCTGCCTCTACTCCTATTTCCCACTGGGACCGATAATAGAGTTCGTCTGGGTGGGTAATTTTCATTTGCTCTTGACACATGTCCAGCCCATCTAAGCCTACCTATTTTTATGAAGGATATTACATCTCTACCATTTACTATTTTTTTATACTTCTCGTACAATTCGAAATTATATCGCCTTCTCCAAATACCATTCTCACAGAATGCGCCCATTATTCTTCTTAGTATCTTCCTTTCGAAGACGAGCAGAAGATTTGCGTCTGTTTTGGAGATGGTCCATGTTTCTGACCCATATGTCAGCACTGGTAGGATGAGTGTTCGATATATTATTAGTTTGGTTTTCTGGCTTAAATTTCTGTTTTTTAGCTGCTTGCTTAGTCCAAAATAACATTTGTTTGCTAGCAGTACCCTGCTAAAAGGCTGTTATATCGACCAGAAATTTGGATTTCGGTCTAGCCGCTCCACTGAACTTGATTTATTGACATTTACTGATTTCCTTATAAAATCTCTTGAAGATGGGTTCCAGGTTTATGCTGTATACCCAGACTTCACAAAGGCATTTGACCTGGTAAATCACAAGATTTTAATCAATAAGTTGAGGAGTCTGGGTAACCAGGGTGAACTTTTAGAATGATTGTTATCCTACCTAACTGAAAAAATAGAAATAGTACGTGTTCAGGGTTTTTAACAGTTTGAGATTAAGGTATGTACTTTCAGGAGTACCACAAGGATCACACCTAGGAACTCTTCTATTAAATATCTATGTTAATGAGAATGCTTCCTGTTTCCCCTTTGCTTCTTTGCTAATGTTTGCTGACGATTTAAAATTATATTTGAAAATTTAGAATTATGGTGACTATCAAAAACTACAGTCTGATTTGAATCGGTTGAGCTATTGATGTGACAGCAACGGAATGGAATTTAATGTTAAAAAGTGTCATTTAATGGTTTTTGGTTGGAATAAAACTCGTACAAATCATATCTATACTATTAATGGTTGCCCTTTAGACTCTGTATCTCAGATAAAAGATGTGTTGTGCTCGATTCCAGCTTATCCTACATCCCCCATATCTCATCTGTTGTCTCAAAATCACTTCAACTTTTAGGGTTTATCAAACGCTATGTTAAAGATTTTCTAAATAGCTCATCTATAAAAATTTTGTATTGTTCACTTGTGAGACCCCACCTAGATTACTGTTCATGTGTTTGGTCTCCTTACTATAATACCCATATTCAAGCTATTGAGAGAGTTCAATACAAATTCTTAAGATCTGTTGCATTTAAACAAAACCAGAGGATTGAAGAAATGAACTACATCAAATATAGAAAGGTCCCTCAACATAACTTCCCTCCAAATCTATTATCACTCTATTATTTTTGGTCCTCAACTATTGGAAAAATTAATCTCCATGTTCACAGTAGACAAACAAGGCTAAATCAACCGTTTTATGCTAGACCCAACTAAAGGTTTGCTAATTAATATTCGAAAAGGAAAAGAATTTAAAGCTTAGCTTAAGAACTGTGTGTGATAGCTCGATGTCCTTTTGTCTTGTACATTATTTGTTAATGTTTGTTATTTACTTTTCCTACTTTTATTTTTTGTATGATAAAAATTTTTAAATTTAATTTAAGTAGGTTACGTTAAGAATCTTCTGTAATTTATCAATAATGTTTACATTGTATTTTGATTGGGCGATTGGCCGATAAATAAATAAATATTTCCTAATTGTATCTGATTCGCTTCATTTGAGATGGTTAGATGACTTGAAGAAATACGCAGGCCCGACGTGGATACAAACTGACTACAATAGAGAGACGTGGAAGAAGGAAGAGGAGGCCTATGTTCAAAATTGGACAGCAAGGGCTGTATAGATAGATAGATCTTATTGGCCACCTGTTGTTCTTATTTATAGGACCTATTACTCATCTCAGTACCTTTCTTTCAAAGATAACACCCAAATTTCACATCCATCCGAAAATCGTAAAAAGAGTGTGGCACATTTGACTGTGATGATTAATAATGAAGGAATTATTTTTGCAGAACAGTCCGACGAGGACTGGGCGAAAAGAATCTGCTAGGTCGCCGGCCTAAGAAAAAACCACGGTTCACCGAAGACATGAAGAGAAAGAGACTCCAATGGGCCAAACAACACCGAAGTATGACTGATTTAAGACTGGAGTCTGTACAGTTTTTTTTTAACGAAGGTAGTTTGTGAATAGCGGAGAGCAGTTCCATCCAGATTGCATTGTGGAGAAAGTTAATTATCCGGTTAGTGTCATGGTGTGGTCTGTAATCTCGTCCAAGGGTATGGGACGCTTATACGTCGTGGATAGGACAATGAGACAGGACCAGTATAAACGAGTACTTGAAATTTAGCTACTGCCCCAGCTCAATGGTTCCTTGGTGATAAAAAGTACAGAAGCTTGTATTCAGAGTATGCCCAGATGAGTAGAAGCTATAATTGTTGCAGAGGGCGGTACCGCTACATATTAAAATGAGTGATTTTATGTTACAATTTTTTGCGAAAAAAATTAATGGTTTTACTAACAAAATGCATTGCTTTTGTGAGCTTAATACCACTCTCTTATACAAAAAATAAATTTTGGATTGACCGAAAATCTTTAAGTGACGGTTGGTTTGCATCAAGGTTCTTCACTGAGTCCCTATTTGTTTAATCTTGATATGGATGAACTAACAGAGAAGGTAAGAGAGGAGAGAGAGGGCTCCTTGGTCAAAGCTCTTTGCGGATGATACCGTGTAAGTGAATCAGAGCAATGTTAGAGGAGCAGGGCAATTGAAGAGGGAGGATTTAATGTCAAAAATGGAGTACCTTGGCTCCTATATAACGGAAATTGGGACACTGGATCTAGAAATTACCCACAGGATACAGACTGGTTGGTTTAACTGGAAGCGAATGGGCAGCTTATTCTGTGATCGAAAAATCGATGAACAATCGGTATACAAGAGTGAAAATATTACAGTGTATGTAAGGTAAAACTAGAATGGACAAGATTAGGAACAACGTGATTAGGGAAAGAGCCAGGATGACTGCAGCCTAAAAAAAGGTTCAAGAACAAAGACTGTAATGGTTTGGCAAAGAAGACACGATGGTCAGGAATGAGTGGTCAAGAAAAGGAAGGAGCAGTGACTTCTGAAAAGGGAAAAGCTGAGGAGGAAGGAAAAGATAAATAAGTGGTTGATTTAGTTTCGTCTGGCTTAAAGCCTCAAACTCTTTACTTTATTCATATTTCAATTTTTCATTAACTATAAAAAACTGATATAAAATGCGAATACCCTCTAATGCATTTGAAATTAGTACCGCTACTGTCAAAACTCAGATCGTTCTTGCATCCTTTTCTAAATAAAGAGGCTCTACATTTTCAATTGTTTATGCGCACGCGTACTAAGTACTAGATGTTAGCTGTCATGAAGGGCGTTTGCGTTTGTGAATTAATGGACAAGTGATTTAAAGTATTTACGGTAAATATCGGTTTTATTAATAAAAGAGTGGTTGTGTTCAAATATTATTGCTTCACCGAATAGGTAAGTCTTTGAAATATTTTTAATCCGTGATTATTTTACCGATAAAGTCCACTTGTGACCTGAATATGGCCGACTCTAGGTGTAACCACTACAAATTTGGGTAATTATTCCTGTTCTGTTATCTCATGGATTGTAATAGTTATATGTTATTAATGAGGGGTATTCATGTATATATTTTTGAAAAAGAACGGTTAGTAAAGTAATTTAATATAAATAAACAGGTTCATAGGGTCATCAGGTGCAACAAATGACAGTTTTTGATGCCCAGTGTCAGTGAACTCTAATATAGGGCATTATTTTTAGTTAAAACAATATATGCGGTGCTATTAGTATCCGTCATACTCTATTGTTTTTTTTTAGAAAAGCCGCTTTGGTGTTTTACACTTGTTTTCAAATTTGCCCCTTTTTTAAAGGCCTGAATTCCATTATTGATTAGTTGTCACAAGAATATAAATAGATTTGCGATAAACTTTGATTTTGTAGACGATATTAACTTCAATTTAATTAAAAGTTCCTGTATAAACTTACACAATTATTTAACATAGTATATTTAAGATGTAATGTTTCAGATAAAAAGAGGTTATCAATATAAATATAGTTGTATAATACTGGAGAGAGGTCAAAAAGTGTGAGATAATAGGCATGTAATTGTTTAACAATATTTAATGTTGTCCAGGTTTATTTATTAATAACCATGATGTCTATATGACTCATCATTTTATTGTTGATGACCTTGAATTCTTAATTTTCAACAAATTATACTTTACCAGAGTAGGTATTATGCAATTATGTTAATTCAGACCTTTTTGAATTTGAAACTGAAAGTTATAAATAAAACTTGTGTTATGAAATTGTATACTTATTAATATTTTTATAGTAAACTGACCAAAGGATATGTAAGAGTTGGCATGTAAATAATAACAATAATTAAATGTACTTTTGTTTTCACAAGTCATTAAATAATTATTCCATTAGATCTCTAATAATGCTGTATGACATGCTGCTGATATACACACATTTTTTACAGAATTAGTAAAAAGTAAGAAGTGGTAGTGGTATTTTCCTTTTAAAATAATGTATCACTTTAGAAAAAAGTCCAAAGATCAAAATATGCTGTCAGTTTTGTGTATCACTTCGATTTTGATACCCATTCTTAAAGGTTTGTAAAAGTATATTGTCTTTATCTACTCTACTATCTGTACTCTTACTAAGAATGCTGATATGGTAAACAACAGAAGTTTCACTTTTCTATGATGTGACTTAGAAAGAGTACATACAATTGCATCTTACCATATTAGTAAGCTATTCAATCAAGATGTTCTAGTCTTCTCATAATTTATTTGACTTTCTTTGCCTATATATCACTGTTTCAAGCATTTTTATTGATTCCATGTTTTTTTTGGCTTTCATGATAAAATTCAGTCCTGTTACAATTCAAGGTATGATCAATTTAGTCCTCTTCAGAATATTTTAACAATGTCATTCTTGGAATATACAACACAAAAATTCCTACCCCTTACTATTAATAACTAAAATAAACACTGTTACAAATTTCTAATTGAAGTGTATATTCATTAATTTTGATTAGAGTCTTTCTACTTGTAAATACTAACCTCTAAATGACTATAAAAATAATTACTTATTTTACTAGATAGTTGGGACTGGTACATAAAACAGTCAATTTTATTGTGATAACTAAGAATATCCACAGATTTTTTATGTATGATTTTGAAGAATCTGAGTATATTATTATGACTCAAATTTATTGACCCATGGACTATTACATATTTCATTTTTATATTTACATATTTTCATTTTTTAAATATAATATTCATTTACTATTACCACATGCAGCAATTTAAGAATTGTTTAAATATTTCTTCTTCTTCTTCATTCCTAACACCATTTCAGATTTCATTCTGATGGATTTTCAGAAACATGACAATTTAAATTCTGAGTACTTAATGTTAAAAAAAAAAGAAGTTCCTTAGTGGAAAGCATTTTTTTAAGTTTAGTTTGTAGACATACATTGACAAACACATTGACATTACTTTACTTGTATCCTTATTAGTTACAACCATTGTACTGTTTTGGTGCTAGCCTTGGTGCTTCATCATCAATACTACTGCCTTTCAACTATATATCTCCTTGTAAAGAGTCATTCAAAGGGCAAAAAATTCATCATCATTATTGATTTTTACCTCAAAGTTACTCCAATTCATCAAGGAGTTCATACACCTCATCTGGATTAGATGCATGCTCTCTTAGACCCTACAAAAAGCAAAAATATTACAGTACTGATCTTATCTTTTTAGTTTGTGTTTAAATTAGTTTAAGGTAATTTAGGTGAAACCTAAATTGATTGGCCATCACAATTCACAAAAACTCAGCTAAACAATAAAGTTATTATTATAACCTCGAATCCCAACTTAAATATGGAAACTAAATGAACCACATTAGATGAAAACTGTTTAATTCATATTTCATGTGTTAATAAGACCCACACACTTATAACATCATAGAGTGTAAGAGTTATGGAATAACATGTATATTTGTTGCATTTTTAAGTATGCATGTCACATTTAACTGCATACAAGATACAAATACTTAGATATGGACCGGCTAGTTTTTGTTCATCTATAAAATCAAGAAGTAGCTCTCTCTGTGTATAGTTTAAGTCAGTTGATTATTTTAATGGTTTTTTAGAATTCGATATATAATAGAAGAATTAATCAGTGTAAGGAAATTAAAAAACACAAGATATGTGCTGGTACAGATAACATATTTGCATGCATTTGGGCAAACCTTTGGGCAATTTTAGCCTGCCATTCCTCTCCCCCCCTTCTAACCCCAAAAACTTAAAGTTTTCGTTTTTATTTTTTTTAGGTAGAGTGCTGCAGGTCCAATTTTTTTTATTTTGTGAAACTGTAAATGGTGAAATAACTGTGAAAATATGTTTTTTTTTTGGAGGTTTAAAGGTAAAAAATATTCTGTGTGTGACGGCATTTTGAATATCTTATCTAGGGGGTATCCTTTAGGAATGAAAGTGTGAACTATAGTGAACACATTATATAACTATATTTCATGATATTTAAATTCTATGACTTCCACTATTTTCCATGATTTGCATACATTTTTATCATTTATTTATCAGACAATGTTGAATAGTAGGTATATTTGAAGTATTATTTGCTAATAAATAATGGTTTTTCTCTGCTTTCAGATCATAATGTTATCTTATCCTTATCAGTATAGAAGGATTTCAGAGAGAATTTATCATTATAGCCTCTTTTTGTGTGTATTGCAGTTTTTATGCACAGGTTGATGTTGCTTTATCTGTATTAGTTTATTTATTTCTAAAAAGTGAGCTCTTATTATAACGGTTGAGGGTTCAAAGACATTTAATATTAGCCAAAAGGGCTTTAACATTAAGCAAAAACATCACATTTGTTTATAAAATTGCTATAAAAATGTTATATTTAAAAAAATCCCATTTCTGAAACTGCAATGTTTTTTAGATTATCCAATGTTTCTTTATCCTGTTGGCGATTTGTCCATATCTTATTATTCTGTTTTGTGCTATTCTACCAATTTTTTTATTCCATTCTATTTTTCTTTTCTTGTGTCCATACATGACGTATCAGTACAGCAATGTATGGATAACATTGAATTTTCCTTTATGTACTTCCATTATAACCTCATCCATAATGATATTAAATAGTAAAGTGCTTGGTGAAATCAATTTATCTGATACCACTGTACAATTCATATTTTAGCAGTTCATTTGATATTTTCTCTGTTCCTCTTGACTTTCTTTGTTTTAACTGTCTTAGTGTTTTATTAACTTCATCAATATTAACATTGTTATGTTACACTAACTGGCAAAATTATTAGGCCAAGCAAGGAAAAATTCACTATATGAAGTTATTTATCTCATGATTATTAATGTATTTGAAAAAATTACTGATTTCTTCTTTTTTATAAATATTAACTCTTGGGTAATTAAACTGTACGAAAAAAGTTAACCAAATACATTTATTTATTAAAAAAGTATAATTTTTTAAATAAATCCAAAGTAGGGATCAATGTAATATTTTGTATGTCCGCCTTTGGCTGCTAAAAGAGCTTGAACATGTCGAGGCATGCTCTCGATACAGGCTTGAATAGTTTCCTGGGGATAAGGATCATAATTCCAGTCATATATGAGCATTTCAAGTAACTCCTTTTTATTAGTAATGTTTTTTTCATAAATGAATGCCACAAATGAATTTTTCATTCATTTGTGGCTCTAAAATCTCGTTTCGAGTACTTTACTGTACAGGTCTTGTCTCATCATGTTTTCCACCACATAGAGAGGGTCTGTACCTTTGCTGGATACCACAGACCAGACCATGAATGACGGTGGGTGTTTGAACCAACCGTTTGAACGAACTTTGTTTTTTCTGTCAAAACTTGAAAAACAGATTTGTCCGAGAAGCAGACCTGAAATCAACAAAATTTTTAGAAATGCTCACGTTTTTTTTTTATTTTTTTATATTGATATTCTAGCAGAACAACAGAAATATACCCTTTTCTAGTCTTCCACTGTCCAGTTTTTGTATTTTTGTGCCCATCGAATCGTTTCTTTATTATACCCAGAGTAAGTCTGGTGTCCTAAGGTGTCCTAGATACCAGTTTGTTTTCGATAAGTCTCTGATGAACTGTTCTTTCTGAAGCACAAATTTCTTCATATATCTTCTTATCTCTTGGGTAAGTATTTGCAGTGGTTTCTTTCTGTTTACTAGTCAAATATCTCTTATTTTGCGATCAGTCCTAGGAGTAGTCACGCGATGTCTTCCACTGTGACCTCATGCTTTGGATCCAAACTGACTCCAGACACAATTTTCTGTTTTATATTCCTTATAAAACTTCTTGATACTCCTACCATTGCTGCTATTTCATTTTGAGATATTTGTCCAGCTTTTAGGAGTCCATATACTTGGCCTATTCGTTTTGGTGAC